CCGTGGGGGTAGAGAGCGAAGAGAGCTTCTTGATTAAAGTAGATATCATGAATAATCGTGTAGCTTTCACCGGAAGCTCCTCTTGACAAGTGAAGATTTAATTGCCAAACATAACAAAGTTTAAAGTTGCAGTAATGTGTCTGACAGCGGAAATACTGAGTCAAATACTGGCACCAACTGCGCAGTGAAGCAGCACAAATACATATAGAGTGAATGAAATGAAAAATTACCTCCTTCTTCTATCAAATCATCAAATCCCATGAGACTGTCTGTGATCTGAGGGCAGAGTGACTTTGGCTCCAATGAAACAATGAGCTTCTCTCTCTCTCTCTCTCTCCCACTGACACGGTGACTCTGATGCTGATGGCAATGCTGCCGGTCTGCGTGTGTGTGTGTCTGAGTTCATATCTGTGTGTGTGTGTGTGTTGTTGCTCTGTGCCTGGCAGCTGCAGCTTAGTGATGCATGGTGAATAACAGGTCAGTGCTAATCTCATTAGGGCTAATCAGATGTATATGATATGTATAAACAGTGGAGTCCTATACTGTACACAAGGAGCCGCAGAAGACGTCCATCAAAAGTGTGTGTGTGTGTGTATGTGCGTGCGTGCGTGCGTGCGTGTGTGTGTTTAGAGGTATGCTGGGGAGGGGACGACTGATTGAGATGAGGTGAACAGAAAAAGAGAGATTTTTCAGGGTGCAACATTATCAGAGGAATTATGCACAGGTGGGGAGCTGGAGTGAATACTGATGAAGGGAATAGGAATATATTTTTGTGAACACACATACAGTCCACACACACACACACACACACACACAGCAGCTACAGTTTGCACCTGTTCTAAATGAGGACTGCATGCAACTACGACAAATGAGGCATGCCTTAAGGAAGCTTGAGGTTTGTCACTATGTCTGTTCCCAGTTATTAAGTGTGGTGTGCATACATTAAACGTGGGGTAGGTAAGTTTGAGAAACCGGCTCGAGATACACTTTTTGTTATATTCCATGGAATGCTCTTAACATCCCGATAGCAATGAATATCTTAAGTGCTTTGACAAAAAATCCATAACAAAATGTCATCTGTGGAAGCCGTAGTACTGTAAAAAGCACGACCAATCATTTTAGCCGGGCCGGCTAAAATGACTGGATGGCCTACCTGCCTGTCAGCCTCCCATCGGGGCACAAACTTATCTCGTGCCCTCATTGGTCATGTGCGCGTTTGTGTGTGTTGGAGGAGGGGCTCTGTAAGGAAGTGGCAGATTTTTTCCGGCTGTGTATTTTCAAATTCTAGCGCACTCGAGCTGGTTTCTCCAAAATTACCTATACCCCACCTTTAATGTCTTTCTGCATGTGTGTTAATATTTGTATGATCCTTACCTGTTTATGAGAGATGGTACATGCAAAGGTGAAATCAGACATCAAGGGTAAGAAAGAAAGATGTGAGGTGTTGAAACATATGAGTCATGAAATGAAGGAGAAAGGCTGGAATTGTACTTGTATTGAAGCAGAGGGAGACTGCGTGATTTCAGATGGTTATGTGGGTGTTTGAGTGAAAAAGAGAGTGGAACAAAGACAAGGCAACAAAGGTTTTGGCCATCTTGTTTGAAACCCTTTCCCCTCGCTCTCTGAGTGTCCCAGGAGTTCAAGATTGGTTTCACTTAAAGCACTTAAAACACCCCACAGGACCATTGCTTGTCTCTGAAATACATATCAAAATCGCTCTGGGATTGTTTCTAAATTGAATGCAATCTGCCAGAGTTGCGAGCCATCTTTTTAGGGTTTTTTCCTCCTCACTCTTGATCTCTCCTGCCTGCACTTGATGCCAGCTTTCCTTTGTTTCCATCACAAAGGGGTTTTCAGGAAGTGTTCTGCTCCAAAGACAAATAGTAAAAAGATCTTTGCTGCATAAATCATACATCTAGCCAATCAAAGGTTAAAAGATTGAGTAAATATTTCAGGGAAAGCCGCAGGAGAAGCTAATAGAAGGACATAAAGCACTTTAAAGGGGACCTATCATGCAAAATGCACTTTTGTACGTCTTTTATACATGAATATGTGTCCCCGGTGTTCCAGGGAACTCACCAAGTGTCAGAAAACACAACCCTCTCTATTTTCCTCCATACCCAAATCTCTAAAAAAGGGGCTGCAACGGATCTGATAAAAACTGATCCAGATTTGAACATTTCTCTGACGTCAGGACGGAGGAGCTGACCTATCAGGGGAATGAGAAGTTGCCGTGGCATGGTAACAGCATGGTAACACGGCGCTCGTAACTCGGCCCCCTCCTTTGCAGGGGGGCGTGTTCAGCTGCAGCGCATGCAAAGACATGGTGGAGGAGAGCAAAATAGAGCGAAATGAGGCATGGCTAAAATGCATGATCTGTTTGGTATTTTGAAAAAGAAAACGTATAAATATACCTTATATAGGTATGGCCCTACAATATATTATTCAAATATAGCATGATAGGTCCACTTTAAATAAAGAGGCTGATGGGGGATTTGATGGAGTATGTTGTCCTAAGAATGCAAACACAGCATCGTATACAATGAGTTTACATTGCAAAACGTCTAATGAACGTTCTGTATTCAAATAGACATATATTTCTGGTTGATAAGACCAATCTTTATGTTGAAATGAACAAATTCCTTTGTCTAATGTTGCCAAGATTTAAAAATAACTTGTTTAGAAACTCTCATTGTGGCACTATAGCATGTTTGGGGCCTTTTAAAATCTTCATTTTGGACACTGCACAAAGACATGAATTGGTTTCTGTTGTCACACTTCCAAGGTTTTGCTGAATTATCCGTCAGTATGAAACGTAGAATACAAATAAACTTCCAAGCAGAACTTTCAAGTGGTATCTGTTTTAAGTAAACAAGTTGTCAGATTATTTTCCCAGAGGAGTTCTTCACAGAATGTGTTTATAGTTGTAATGTTTCACTACAAATGAATGTTCATGCTGTTGAGTTTGACCCAAAGGAATAAAGTGTTTCTAGATGGAAGAATAGGAATGTGATATTGATTGTTCTTGGAAGGGAAAAGGTCAAGGTTATTGAAGGTCAAAAGCAAGAACTAAAATAAGAGGCAGGCATTTATGAGAGAAAGATTAGCAATGCATGAATTCAACCCAGTCACTTTAAAACAAAAAAGAGTGTATTTGAATGAAACATTTGTGGAATAAATGAATTCAAAATGTACTTTAGAAGTGGGCTGCAACAGAAAGTGATTATAGTTCAGCTGTTTGGAAAGTGCATCTTGAAAATAAAGACAATAAGCCAATAAGTCTTGCATACAATTGGTACAACAATAATTGGATTATCGGACATGATGAACTTTCCCTTCAGTGGGAAAATAGTGTTTGGATACGGACTCTTTTCTAATCAGTATTTACCATGAACACACACATCCACACACACGGCCTGCATTAGGAAAGCCGATATGGGGGTAGCTGTCCCCCTTTCCCAGGGAAGCAGTGGGGATGAAAGAGAGCAGAGATGGGTCTCCCACCCTCTGGTCTGCTTTTGCCTTTGACACCAGCAGTCACCAACTCTAACAGCACAGGAGAGCGAGGAGACGGGCTGAAAACCCACTATCTGCCCACCCTGCTCTCCTCTCTATCTCACATGTTCTCTTTCCCTGCTGCTGGAAGTAAGATGTATTTATTTAATTGACCTTACTCTATAAATAGAGGCTGGTTACATGTAGCATATTTTCCGTCCGTCGTGTAACCGTCTTGCATTCCTTTTCAATCGGCATGGAGGGTAAGGATGCTCAACTGCAACAGAAAGTAATTATAGTACAACTTTGACCAAATCAGATTGAGCTGTTTGGAAACTAAATCTTTAAAATAAAGACAATAATCCTATAATTGGTACAACAATAATTGGATTATGGACATGATGAACTTTCCCTTAAGTGGGAAAATAGTGTTTGGATACTGACTCCCTGCTCTCCTCTCCTCTCTCTCGACCTTGCACTATAAATATAGGCTGGATACATGTAGCATCATTTCTGTCCTTCATGGAACCGTCTTGCATTCCTTTCCTATACACGACATGGAGGGTAAGGATGCTCAACTGCGCCTATAGGAACGACACAGGGAACTGAGTTGAGCTGAACAGCAGCTCACTGGTCTCCTGCTGTGCACCTCGCTGTGCAGGACCCCCGCTCATTCTCCCTGACAGCCGGCACATTCACACAGACCCCTATAGCTGCAGGATACTCTGTGGTCTCAAAGACATTTTTCATACTGCCTCGCAGGTTGGTCATCCAGGACTTGTCAAATAAGATCACCACAGTGTATTTGAGCCTGTGTGGGACCATGGAAAGAGGATCTAAGCTAAGCTGTAATGTGTTGACCTGGGTGACTGTAGAGTGTCTCAAACTGTGAGGACAGACGGCATGAAAGGAATTCATGTGTGCCAGGCAGAGAGCAGAGATAAACCTCAGCATCTCACAGTCGGTGTGAGAAATGTAGCCCGAGCCTTTACTTCCTTTGATGGCTTATTACTGGGGTTATATGGATGGCCCTAATACGTGCTTTTCAATGCACTTCACAATGTATGCCGGCTATTTTTTGTCCTGTGTACTTAGCGTGTTACACAGAATATGCCAGTCATAGTTGTCCCGAATGCACTGGTGACTGTTTTGCATTCCCTCTCTCTGGAGAACAGGCACACCCATCAGGAGCCATTAGTCTTCACAGTGACAGGCCGGCCTTCCACTGAGAGACTCTCCCTGGCGGAGCTTTCTCATCGCCTCAGACAGTGGTCGGGTATTTTTTACTAACAGGCTGAGACACCGTGCCATTTGTGCGGGGCATTAACTGCTGGCTTTACAGCAAATTTATGTTCTGACAAAAGAGTAAAGCAAGTCACCCACGATTTCACACGGCTTCTTATGTTCCTCCCCAGGTGAACAGATGAGCGGATTAAAGGTCATGTGGATAGATGTATTGGCAGGTGTTGTAAAAATGTCTAATGATTTCTCCTTCCTGTCCGCAGACGGATGCAGCGCTGATGTACGACGCGGTGCACGTGGTGGCGGTGGCGGTGCAGCAGTCGCAGCAGATCACGGTCAGCTCTCTGCAGTGTAACCGCCACAAGCCGTGGCGCTTCGGGGGGCGTTTCATCAATCTCATCAAAGAGGTACAAGGCCAACAGAGCTATCAGTGTGCAGCCTGTCTTCACCTCTGACCTGTGGAATCTGCTGAACACAACATGTTATATTGATCAGTGCAATCACATGTTTGCAGCATCCTCTGTGCATTACTGTAGCAGCTTCTGGGAACTGAGCTGCACATTTTGCATTGTTGTCTGTTCTTTTGTTGTAAATCATGTGAAAACACATTTGCTGCTTAATTTGAACACTCTCAATAATGTTATTGATAATGTGATCTAAATAACCGCCTTTTCCACAGCAACTCCATCCCTGTATCCCACTTTCTCTCCGCTCATTACTCCACCCGTGTTTGTATCAAAGCCTCTCTGTGTCTCCTTAACTGTAGTCGGGGTCAGCCATTTGCTTTGTTCTACAAAGCTCTGTCATTATGTGGATGGTATCATTGCAGGTAATTTTCAGAATGAGCCATTGTATTACCCCCCCCCCCCCCCCCCCCCCCCCCCCCCCCCCCCCCCCCCCTGTGTTTCCTATCGCTCGCCATGCCCGTCTGTTCCTCCAATGGCTTTGAAGTGAAACTTCAAGCACAATGAACCACATGCATAATGAACTCTTACCTGTCAAACCTGCTGCTATTCTGGATGCTTTATTTATTTCTTGTTATTTTGTTGAGATAGACAGTGAGGGAAGAGCCAGACAAAATTAATAATTGGGACAGAAAAAGTTTTTTCGATTAGCTGTTGTGAAAGACGATACCTTAAGGTTAATGGAATCAGTGTGCTGAGAATTTAGATTATTATGCTGTGCGCTTCTGTCTGCAGGCTCACTGGGACGGGTTGACAGGACGTGTTCTCTTCAACAAGACCAATGGACTGAGGACAGATTTCGACCTGGATGTCGTCAGTCTGAAGGAGGAGGGGCTGGAAAAGGTGTGTGACACATTGGTGCAGTGGATGATGTATGACTTTTGAGTTTAAAGAAAGTGTGTGTCTGGATGCTTTGAAATATTCTTGCAGACAGTGAGATAAACTTGATGCTGAATTGTTTCTCAGATTGGAACATGGGATCCTCCCAGCGGTCTGAATATGACAGAGTCTCACAGAAGCAAGACGTCCAACATCACGGACTCTCTGGCTAACAAGTCCCTGCGTGTTTCCACCATTCTGGTACACACAGACAAACAATAACACACACAGTTGTCGAATACACACAGAAAAAAACTACTGCTAAATGTATTTTCCCTGCACAGGAGGAGCCATATGTGATGTTTAAAAAGTCGGACAAGCCTCTGTATGGGAACGACCGTTTTGAAGGCTACTGTATTGACCTGCTGAGGGAGCTCTCTGCCATCCTGGGCTTTCGCTATGAGGTGCGATTAGTGGAAGATGGGAAGTACGGCGCGCTGGATGAAAGCACCGGCCAATGGAACGGCATGGTGCGAGAGCTAATAGACCATGTAAGTCAACTATCAACGGGGCTGCGCATTGTAATATGCTGAAAATACTCGGGGGGGGGGAAAGGAAAAAGTAGAAATGACAGTAAACTGCTCCGAGTACTAGACTCCTGGTACTAGGATGGGTTAAATGCAGAGGCCACATGTCACTGTGTGTGCTGTGTGCTCTGCATGTGTGACCATTAAAAGAGGGGTTTCATCCCTCCCATTCTATTCTATAAATCTCCGAAAGCAAAGATTTTCTAGCCAGTGGTTTCACTAATAACCTCCAATCCAATGCCCAATTGGATGAGATGTTAATTGCATTGCTTTGAATAATTTGAATGTTGCTACTTCAATCCTAAATGACTGTTTGTCTTAAGCAGCAGAAAAGGAAAGGCCTAAGAAATCTCAAACATTTTGCAGAAAATCTGACAAAGAAAAAAAACTGTAAAAACCGCCACTGTTGGAGGGGTTATGTTAAAATATTCCAAGTCAGAAAAAGGCTAATCTTCTGTTTCACTGGAAACACGGATTATTTGTCCCTGATTGATCTAATCCCAAAATGGTCTCTTTAGTGACTCATCCTCGACACCACATGAGAAGGATTAGAAATGTTACCTGTCATTTCCAGAAAAAAACTCAACCTCCTACCTGCTAATCCCTCTGAACTACTGACCCCAGCAATGTCCCCTCCTCCATCATGACTCTTCCTCCTGTACATATTGAACAGAACAGCTGTTGACAGAAATCAGATCGTAATGCGATTGCTTGTCTTTTATTGTGTGACTCAAACACCCACCGCTTTTATCACGTTGCAGAAATCAGACCTGGCGGTGGCTCCTCTGGCCATCACCTACGTCCGGGAGAAGGTCATCGACTTCTCCAAGCCCTACATGACGCTGGGGATAAGTATCCTGTACCGCAAACCCAACGGCACCAACCCCGGGGTCTTCTCCTTCCTCAACCCCCTCTCACCTGATATCTGGATGTATATTCTGCTGGCTTGCTTGGGTGTCAGTTGTGTGCTGTTTGTCATAGCCAGGTAACATGTCAAGCCCTTCTTTCCCTTCCTTCCTCCACGTACCTCTTCTGTTTCCCTACATTCACTTTTACACAGATTCCCTCTGGGCCTAAAAGGGGGGATATTACACAGAAAATCATTATGCTTCGACTGGTGGCAAACTAGACTTCAGTGATGTAGCTATAGTCTACAACATAAGAATATTAAATCAAAATACATTACTCCGACGGATCTTCCCAGTGTTCTTCCATGATTGCTTATATTTTTTAGCTTTTAAATTATTTATTTTTGTCAGAGTGGGCCTTTTTAAAGCCTTAAAATACAACTGGAAGTGTAGACTGTTTTACAGAAAGAAGCGCAGCGCCTGCCAGAACAACAAATCCCCGACTTTTACAACCTCCCACGAGCACTTAACCAACCACCCAGAAAAGTTCACATAACAAACGTTTTAGCGTCATTATCATGCATTGATAAAGTAGCTTTAATGAAAAGAATCAAAAAGGTAATAAAAAGGGATGAACGTTATCTCGGATTTCATTACTCGCTGTACTTTTCAGTTAATGAGCTAGACAAGGAAAAACACTGGTGTAGTCATTAAAATCAGCTGACTGCTAACACTGTTTAAGGCATCTTTGCACAAGCATCAGCAGCTGTAAAACCAGCTACCCGTTATATATCTCTAAAGCTGCTGTAAGGAATGTACAATTCTTACAAATATCTTGATGCACCCTACCCTCTGAAACCCTCAATGCATGACCGCAAAATGTGTGTTAACCCCAGGGCTCCTCTTCCTCTGCTTTCATCCCGAGAGGTTTGGGTTTAATGCACATTTCATCAAATGTTACCGGCACAATGATCACATAAGAGGAAAGCGGCAACTGTCACCTAAGTTTGTTCAGAATATGCAAATTATATCCGTAGCCCTTTGTTTCCACGGTTGGTCAGGGTAAGTGATTAGCATGCAATTATATTAATATGCTTTCAGTTGTAATGAAATGGCCTCGGTACTTTTATTAAATTATAATTCTCTTGTCTGCATGCAAGCATTGGGCACGTTTTTTTTGCACACCGTGGCAATAAATAGTGCTTGTCCTCACACTTTGTGACCAAAATTATTCAGCAAAGTTCAAATCTGAAGTACAGTGTTTTTCTCCTTCAGTTAGCTGAGCTGGTTCTCTCATAATTGTAGTATTGATTGCACGGCCACCGATTGATTGGTCAACCCCTCAAATGCACAGTATATTATTTTATTGAATCCCCTGCAAATAGAGTGAGTGAAGTGAACACCTCAATCTCACCTGGGATTTCACATCTTTGAAATTCTTCCCACACACACAATTCACATACACACACCTTTTTCTGACTAAATAAGCTATCTCATTTCAAGCTCCAGAGTAATACATTTCACTCAGTGGTTTCTTTCAGCTCTGTTTGTGGTTGGATTGATTTCTCTCTTTATTAACAAAGAAATGGTATTCACTCAGATTTCAAAAACCTTTTTCCAATGCAGATCCGCCTGCCAAAAGATTGTATGATTTAAATTCCATTATGAAATGTTTACATGTAATTACAGGATGTCGCAGTTTCGCAGTCCAACTCCCGAAAGCCTATGATTTTAACACCCCACCCCCCCAACACAAGCCTCGTCATTTGGCCTGAAAGAAGAAAGGCAGCAGATCTATAATGCCAGCCAGAGTAATTGAATCCAACAGACAGTTAATGGAAGGAGCGTGTTTTGTTATTGTGGCCGGGGACGGATGAAGGAGAAGAGGGACGGGAGAGGGGGAGAATCTTTTTAGAATTCTGCGTGCGATACAACATGTCCCTTGTGCTCGGTGTGAGGAGGTGACCTTACGTCCACATGTTCCACGTCCCCTTCTTCCTGGTGATCGGTGTGCAAAACACGGCCCGCAGGAATACAGGCCGGCTTAAGGCAAAGGTCATACAGAGGAGCCATACAGAGTAAACATGTAGTATACACTGATAGGGACAGTCCAATCAAGGGGGTCTTATAGATGTACACATATTTACACTACCTCACCTATGGCACATATGGGATGTTGCCCACAAATGGCCTCAGGCTGCAGCTTACCATAATGTGTAACAGAGACATAAATAAATCCTCATGGAAAACATTTTGACTTTGAGATGGATTCGATTGAGCAAATGCAAATACGCAGTTGCTACCACGGACAAATGCACACCCACACAGCCATAAAGGCACATGCGCAAACATCCATGTGCCAGAGGCTCGATGCACACAGCCATGAAAACCTTACACGAACACACTGCATCGCGCACAGCTCCACAAGGCCATTGTGCCGTCTCTGTTGCCTGTGGTTCCAAGGAGACCGGACTCATTGACATTCCAGAACAATTCCCACATCCTGATGGAGTTGACAGGAATAATTATAGTGTGTCATCACAACCGTGTCCATGTATATGACTCTCAAGGGGACGGCATAGAAAATAGCTGTAAAGGAGGGAAAATCTGACAGGAATGAGGCCACTTTCATGATTCTTGTAAAAGAAAAAGGCTGTTAATTAGGCTGCTGCAGCAACAAGGAGGGGTGGAATGACATCTGTATGCAGATCTACAGCAATCATGTCGTCTCTGTGGCAAATAGCGCTGCCATAAAACTGCCGTCATATAGCATTTCGTTTGGTAATGTGAAATGCTGCTCTGTGTCTTGTGAACACGGTATATATTTACAGCATATATGTCCCTGTGCGTCTGTAAAAGCTGCAGCTGACAAATTGCATCACATTTCTACGCAGTGAGAACCTTTAAGACTCTTCCCCGGGCTTATTAGCATGCGGCTCGTTGGGGGGGGGAAAGCTGCTAAACAGCCCTTACCTGATGGGTCCCTCAACTCTGCATAAGCAATGTTCCCGCTATCACCCACTTCAGCACAAACTCAATCAGCTCCTGATGCTTAACACTAACCCAATCACCCTGCACTAATGCCGTGCCACTTTTGCTTAGGATAATAAATGAGAAATGTCCACAACTGACCTGAAGATGCTGACAATCAGCCAAGGCAGGCAGCAGCGGGAGGACAGGGGGTGAAAGGGGGAGGTTCATAGGGCATGCAAGGCAATCGGGGGAAATGAGGTGTAAGGGTGGGAAGGAGCAGGATGGAAAAGAAGAGATGAAACTGTGTGGAAAAAGAGGAAAGGCAGCTAGGAGGTGGACGAACAGAGAAGGTTGTTGGGAAAGAAGAAGGCAATTCCCGTGTTGGGGGAGGGGGGGTGAGGAGGATGTGGCATTCGTAGAGTAACGTTGATTGCAGTTGCTGGGTGTAACACGTAACGGCTCCTGAGTCAGTGAATCCAAATGAGCTCCAAAGATCATCACGCACAGGGACATTATCACCGGTGACAGTGTTATTCCAGCCTATTGATCTGTTCTCACAATAAACTGATGGCATTTGAATATGCCGATACGTTGATCTCGGCGAAAGCCAGAATGATTTGCTTTGGTCTCTGCAGAAGCTCCGACCCTGAGGCCACAACACAAGATTCCCACATGTTTACACTCTCTTTGTTCTCGCTCACAATATTATAAAATGTATGTGTTATGTGCCGTTTACTCTGCAGCGGGGAACACACTGTTCTTTGCTTTCTGCTGACATTTCTCTCTTTGTGCTCTCTCCTTTTGTAGGTTTAGCCCATACGAGTGGTACAACCCGCATCCATGCAACCCAGACTCGGATGTAGTGGAAAACAATTTTACGCTGCTCAATAGTTTCTGGTTTGGAGTTGGGGCTCTCATGCAGCAAGGTAGTTGCCTCAGCCTGTGGCTGCTGTTGCTCTGTGGAGCTGGAGCTCTTTATATCCCACTGTCTCTGAGGGTTGGCTTGTTTTGTTTGCCGGCGGCAACAGAGAGAGACCGCTGGGGGTCCACTGCTGGGAAGACAGGACTAAGAATAAATGTGCATTTAATGTTTATTTAATTTAATCAATTTAGGAACACATTAAATAGAAGATAATGTATATGATGATGATGATGTGTATATGAGAGGGATATATTTCAATACCACTTGAGACAATTTAATATCCTTTGATTTAAGACACTTAATCAAAGATTACAGTTTGTATATCTATTGTTTCATCAACAGCAGGTTAAATAGCATGTCTACTGAGATGTATTCCATACATATACAGTCTATTAATATGCTCCTTATCATAGTAATGCTAGTAAAACAATACCCAGGGTCATCTCCTCTTGCCCTCGGCACATCAGCACCCAGAGATCAGTGGGGTGTGGAGTCAGGATGTGAGGTTACCTTGGGTACATGACTCTCTGGCCCAAACAGCCTGTCTCTTCTCCACGCTGTTCTGAAAAATCCATATAAATGTGTTTGATTTGAAGGGATTGATTTATGCAAACACCTTCTTCTCAGGAGACTTTTTAAGTAGTGTTTTTCCTGCATTATTTAAAGCACTTGCTAGTGACTGCTACTTGATAATTGTGCTTGTTTGAAATCTAACAATCATCCTATTCAGAGAGCTCTCACAAGTGATTCATCTTGAAGCGAGTGGTGCGTCTGCCTGAGCTGAAACACTTGAAGAGAGCACTTGAAACAAGTTTGACTGTTTTTCAAAGAAACTAATCTTATCTTGTTTTTCACATTTAAAAATAAACACTGCCACCTCCCTCACACCAGGCTCAGAGCTCATGCCCAAGGCGCTGTCGACTCGAATAGTGGGAGGCATCTGGTGGTTCTTCACCCTCATCATCATTTCCTCCTATACGGCCAACCTGGCTGCCTTCCTCACGGTGGAGAGGATGGAGTCGCCCATAGACTCTGCCGATGACCTGGCCAAACAAACTAAGATCCTGTACGGGGTGACGGAGGACGGCGCCACCATGACTTTCTTCAAGGTAGTTCTGAATGTGTACAGACTGGCTTTATGAGAAATGTTCCTTTCTCCCTTATTAAAATGGATCCTTTAGATTGTAAACACCTGTGGTTACAGCAAGTGTTACTTAATACTTGAGCAAACACCATTTTAGCAGCTATAGGTTGTTGGAAATACATGACCATCTGTTTACTACGCAGCTTATGTTATTTTAATGAAGACGTCAGTCAATAATAATTGCATTAGTGGTATTCAATACAGCTCTGATGTCATGTAATGAGAGTGATCCGCAAACAGTGAGGCTGATATCTTCTTGTAATAATGATTCAAACATAAAAGCTAGATTATAAACACGCATCTAAAGACCCCTCACGAGATAGACTATATACTGTATATCTCGGAGACTGGTACATATCCAATTGTTTAACACTTTTATTGTCATAGTTATGTGAAAGAACAATACAACAATTATATGAGACACGTATTAAACGTTGTTGCAGTTACTAATAGTTTTAGATACTGTATCTTAGATTTGAACGTAATCGATGAATAACTAGATTTAGACATTTAAAAAATATGCGTCGCAATATAAAGCCTTTTCTAAAATGAAAGTATATCGTTATTATCAATACGTATAGTAATTATATCATTATGATTTAAATCAATGGATCTAAAAACATTGAGAAAAATATATATATTATCAAAATCTAGTATATTTTTGGAAAACCTAGGGTACGAAACTTTAACGTCCTATTTTTTAATGCAAATGTAAAATAATTTTAATATTTTATTTATCATACAAGTGAGGTCTTAATTGCAATGATATTCAATAAATAGCCTGCATAGTTAAAGGTTACACTCTGCAACAAATGACCATAGCGCTGGGTAGAGTTGGCCACCACCTCATTCCACTTCTTTTCTCTGGTGTCTTGTAGAAAACTAAAATCTCCACCTACGACAAGATGTGGGAGTTCATGAACAGCAGGAGGCAGTCTGTGATGGTTAAGACGATGGAAGAGGGAATCCAGCGCGTCCTGACCTCCGACTACGCCTTCCTCATGGAGTCCACCACCATCGAGTTTGTCACCCAGCGCAACTGCAACCTCACACAGATCGGAGGCCTCATCGACTCCAAAGCGTACGGAGTGGGAACCCCGATGGGTAAATGTCCTTGAATGTCTGTATGCCTCTGTGTGTGAACAAACGTTTGAAAACATTGAGGTCGGAGAGAGATACTGCAGATACTATGTGACCAATAAAGGTATATAGTGTGGATGATTGATAAGCTCTGAGAACGAAAAGGTTGACCTTTTATTGATGGGGTCGCGGCAGTAATAGTTCAGCAGCGGGAGGTGTAAAAGGTTTCTCTTAATGAAAAGCGAATGGCTGAAGAGGTTGAATTCATGGATACGGTTAAAATGTGCCCAGGGCCAGGAAAACCAGCCGCTGTCCGAGCTCTGCCTCAGCAAGGGGGAGTTTTGAAAAAAATAATTGTAATCATGTGTTTTGGAGCCTACTTAGCAGTCGTATAAGGCAGCGAGTGCAAGACTTAAAATCAATCAGGGAAAGTCGATTTAGTGCAATTCGCTGTGACTTCACCATTTGAATTTCGTCTGAGGATTAAATTCCAACAGCAAAGCACTTCAGAGAGTTTAAAACAAGCACTAAGACTTTTTCCTTTTCCTTATTTGACCTAGCTCCTGTCAGAAAAATTGCATTCTGACATTTAAAAGCGCCATTATCCTACGAGGATACAGAGAAACTAAACCGCGTTTTTCAATTCCTACGGTATATTAACATATACGGCAACCTTTTGTAGGGTTAATATTGTGCGTTTTACAACTCTGACTCCAGGGTACCCTAGCAGAAAGCTGGTGATAGTTCCAATCCTCTTGTTACCGAGGTGACGGCGGTCATGACGAGGCCACGGAGAGCACTGCAACCAGCTGTAATAGCCACATATATCATCAGTGATATGAAGGCCATCAAAATATGGCGGATTAATTCTGGCCATCCACATCTGGACCCGGCTCCCGCTGATGAGTATGGGGCAGTTATAGATCTGCAGGGATGCCATGATTGCCATGGCTGTAACAAAGCTGAGGTGGTTCTCTGAAATATAGTCCCACTGTGGCCCCATAAGTGCATGAGTACTTACACTGATGCCCTTGAGATGGACACATAGACCTAGAATGTGGATCAGCTCCATTTCCACACATATGGTGATATAGTATACGACTGCAGAATATACCACAAATCGCTCTAATTCAGCGATAAGTGGTTCAGTATTTGAATGCATAAGAAATAATGATAAAAGACATCCGCTTTCAAAGTCGTTACTGCCCTCTAACTCATTTCAATCTCTAATTCAGATGTTCATTGCTCAATATTTCAAAAATAAACTTGATCACAGCCTCTTATATGTTTCTTCTCTAAAAGGTCTTGAGATGGTTAATTGCTTCATTTATCTTAAGTGAGTTCCCTTTTCATGCCACAGCCCTCTTGATAGAAGAAGAACATTTCATTTTTTGAAATGGCTCCTTGTTTTCCTGACACAATTAAGTCCTCATCCTTCATGGTAACCTCTAGCCTATAACGTTGGCCCTGCTAAACACTGTTCAGAGGCTCATTCCCTGTAGGGCTGTTAGAGCAATAAACCAGAGCCAGCCGTAAAATACGTCTTAACCTCTTAGTGCTTTACGGTTTTCACACGTACTCTTCCCAAAACCCAAATGCGTCATCAACGGCTATCGACTTAAACTGTGATCACATTAATACTTGAGGCCAGACAGTGTGGGAGTGATGGATGTCCTCTGGTGTTGAACATCTGTCAGGTAGTTGTGTATGCACAGTGTGTCAAGCACCAAGCTTTTCCATTTGCCCGGGCGCCGCTCTCCATATCCTCCTCTCTAAGGACTCATCCTATTAGCATTTATCCAAGGCCTGCTTTGTTAGGCCATCATTAATCATTTGAAATATGAGGGGAGCAAGAATCAGGGGACTCGGATACTTGATAGATTTCTCATCTTCGAGTGAAGCAAGCATATGCTTTTCACATGGATATACACGGAGAGCAGTACATATCTACATGCACAGAATTGATGTAACGTTTATGTGCCTTTAAACACTCGTGAGCCCATCACAGTTTGTGTCACAAAGATGGACTATTTATGATCAAAGCAGTAAACACTGATGTGCCTTTTAAAACTCAGCGATACTTTGTGTAATTTTCCGTTTTTGTATTTATGTCCCCTTTGTTGGTGTAAACACGCAGAGAGGTGGAGATGAAAGGATGATGTATGGCAATAGATAAATGATGGATGAGACAGAAAGGGAATCATTTAAGGGGCTGACAGGCAAAACTGTAGGGGAGCAACAGACACAGTGATGCTACCTGCTACCTGGGGCCATATTTAGTTCATTCCCCCTCGAGGTTCACCGCAAAATGTTTGTACAATTACTTCTATTATGTCGGGATTATAAAAATGTAACATTTGAACACTGTTTCATCTCTTTTAAGTCTCTCCGAATAAGCAAATGGAAATGTACAAACAGGCTTCATTATGCATGAGCTCTGTAATCATATAAATACAGCAACAAGCCTTTAAACCAGTTTATAAATGAAACATTAACGCCCACATTATGAATTAATCTTCCCTGGCCTGGTTAGGGCAGAGTGTGTGCGCTGCGCCTCGCTCGGCCGTGTGTTTTCTCACACACGCTGTGGATGGCGGAGGAACACGACCCCACTCGGGGTACTCTGCAGCGATTACTCCTCCTTTGATCCAGGCCCCCCCCCTGCTGCGCCTCAATGCCATGTCGCTAATTCTGGCGCCTTCCCGCTATCTGTGGATTTGGGTTCTTTTACTCATCATGGCATTAACATGCATAAAAAGCACACTGATAGAGCAACCCTATCTCACATACACACATTTAATCCAGAACACATATGCACCCCTGTAATGTAGACTCCACTCTGTTTTCCCTCTTTTATATGCACCATTTATGACATAAGAAAGCGTGTGCAAACTGCAGCTAATTCGTCCAAATCAACAGCAGCTTTACTCCACAAAGCCAAGTCTTTGTTGCCAACTCCCTGTGTATTATAATTCACACACTGCAGAGAGGAGTGAGCATTTTGGAATCACTCTATGAATGTAGGGATTAGTGGGATTTGAAGAAGGTCTAACAAAAAAACTCCCGCTTAGCAGCCGAACAATAACATGACAGGTTATATGATCGCATGCAGGCCAGAGCGTGTTGCATACACCCACCACTGCTAGTTAAATACATACACATACACTTAACAATAACTTTGCAAAGCAGGATTTGATCATATCCTGTTATTATCCATGCTCACTAATCTCATGTTGTCTCCCTCGCAGGCTCTCCCTACAGAGACAAGATCACGATAGCTATTCTGCAGCTGCAGGAGGAAGGGAAGCTGCACATGATGAAGGAGAAGTGGTGGAGAGGGAACGGCTGTCCCGAGGAGGAGAGCAAGGAGGCCAGCGCTCTCGGGGTGCAGAACATCGGAGGGATCTTCATCGTGCTGGCTGCAGGACTGGTGCTGTCCGTGTTTGTGGCCGTAGGGGAGGTGCTGTACAAGTCCAATCAGAACGCCCAGCTGGAGAAGGTACTGCACTCCTTTTATATCCAGTGTTAAGAACAAAATGGTTTTGACACATTTTCTTTGCCTTTAAGATTTCTTGTTTCTAAGTCAGAATAACATTCACAATTTCAAATAAAATCACAATTCAAAGGTTTTATTGTCATATGCACAAAGCTACAGTGTAGAAATGGCAATGAAATTCTTCTGACCTGAGCTCCTCCAACAATGCAACATATGTAATAAAATACAAAATAAAAAGTAGTCTATATACATGTCAATAGAATATTGGATATGTACAAGAGCATGACCATGTTCAAAGGTAAACAAACTATAATGTAAGAAATCAATAAAACCATCCACTACAACACAACATACATATTCAGTAGTGTTTTTTTAGTTTGTATGTGTTTTCCTTTTTGCAGGTTTGGGAATATTTTAAGGATGAAACAATACTCATATGCACACAGGCATGTGAGTCATTGGTCGCTGTCATTATGACTCCTGTTCATAGAGGCCGGGGTTTTAGCCAAATCAAGTGAATATGTTTCCAAATGTTGCACAGCATTCCTGGATTTAGAACGTTTTTTACTTGCGGAGCTGTAGTAGAGGGATAACAATCAATGACATAATTAAGTACTTAGTAGATTTTAACTTAGCTAGTGTACTAACTTCTTTGTCTAAATAATATTAGCCTCCGCTGAAATAAACGATGGATGGAGCGCATCGTATCTCTTAATTTGCAATTAAATCAGGATGGCATCTCTGCACAGGCAGTTTAGAAGAGAGTAGCCATTAAAGTGACCAATTACTTGCACATGGGTGTTTTTCTATAATACATTTGAACTTATCCTCTGATCTCGAGTGAAAACTAAGACATTCACCATGCATACAGTGCAGCATTTTTGCAGCCTTTTTTCTTCCGCCCCTCTGGTTATGTTTCTTTCTAGCAAGAGACCTAATACATTTCAGACTGTTCTCTCTGTGCTCTATTTTAGTACTGAGTGCACATGATTCATCACACAGTGTGGAGCATGTATTTTAGTGCTCTTTAACTCTCTCAATGATGTTTCCAGATAATTGTGAAAGTCCTTTTGATAGCGTGTTTTAATTATTTACATGTACAGAATTAGCTCAGCGCAGCAGCCTGTTACTTTATTGCAACAGTAATTAGTTTCAGGCTTTTTTTTTTCACGCTCTGCATATGTTTCAGAGCTCATCTCGGCTATCATTAATCAAGAGCCGCAAGACTGGGTCACAATATTCAGATAATTTGCAAATGCCACAATCTCTAGCCTGCCAAGGTGCTAGTCATTTACATGCACACAACAAAGCTCTTCTTCTCTATTTTCTCCCTCCTCCACCCTGACATCACCAGCCTTTTTACCCCCTTCACTCTCCTTCATTTCTCCTCTATTGTAATCCATATCGCTTTTTCTCCAACCCTTTGTTCCCCTTTCTACTGTAATCACTCATCTTCCCGCGTATACAAAATATCTCATTCATGCGCCAGAAAAAATGAGAGAAAACAAAAGAATACCTGTTGCAAAAGCCATCCTACAGATATCCATCTCACGCACCTACGCACAAACACAAACAGAAAAATAATAGCTCTCCCTTTTCTTTCAAATCTCCTCTCCTCCTACCCTCCAATAATTAAAATTTTGGTTTAGCATAATCAGAGGGAATGTATGTGAATTTGTCTTGGCACGTTGATGCACAGGCATATTGACATTTTATAGGATTTCACACTACATACAAAAAGAGGCTCATTTTGTACTGATGTTACACAACACATGTCACTCTGTGAGGGGGTGATTGATGTTTTAAAAGAAGGTACAAAATATTTTTGGATTTAATCTTCTGTGGTGGATATGTTTTCCTTTTTTCAATATCTTTTCATTTTCTACTTGCGCACCAAACATTGCAAGTGTTTTTCTGTACTTCCTGGCAGGGTGCAAAAGGCTCTATAAAAACATTTGGACTTTTGTGTGAGATTGAAGCAATTTTCGGGAAAATCTGGGACACATCAGACCTTTTCAAATAAATACAAATCCCAGTATGGGCATTAACAGCTTAACATAAGAGTTCCAGAAATACATAGGCCTACTATATATACGAAACAGATACAGATACATGAACCTCATTTTAAAGGTAACTTGTTATGCAAAATCCACTTTTTCATGTCTTTTCTACATCAACATGTGTCCCCTCTGTGTAAAGAGATTCTGAAAGTTTCAGGAGAAAAGATTCTCCCACTTTTTGTCCTGATCCATTTATATAAAAACCTGTCTGAAAATGAGCTGATCAGATTTTGGCCACTTTATGATGTCATAACGTTTTTTTGGCTTGTGTAACCATTAGCCAATCAACCAAGGTAACACCTTATCACCTGAATCTCCTCCTAGAGCACCATTGTGTTATTTTGAACCAAATATCTCTCATACCCCTTTCACACCAAGGCTTTTCCCCTTCTAGCTCCGTGCTAGAGCTTTTCTGGTTCAGAACCGGTTCTTCGGTTTAGCGCCGGCTCTTTTCACACCGCTCAGAGCCCGACTGGTGCTGCCGCTGCTGCGTCATGACGTCACAGTTTACGTCGCTGAGTTTCTCCCCAACGGAGCTCACCTCACAACAACAACGGGCCGGGGACTGCGTCGGGTCGATGATCGTGTTGCTTTTAATCATACGAAGCCAGATTAAATTAAATAACGACTTCTCCAACCTTATACTTTTCTCCAGAGTGCCGTGGTTCATTGTTTATTAATGTGTTTCAGCTGCATTTACCGACCGCTGCAGTGCTGACTGCTCTTCAACGGGAGTGTATTCTCCGGGTTAGCTCACACGGCTCTAAAGTATTCACTGTCTGACTGTCACACAAGCAGCTGTTACATATCCCCAGTTCCCCTTAAGTGAATGTGTGTCAGTCTGAATTGACGCTGTTTGGTGTCAGTCTGAATTGACGCTGTTTGGCATCACAACGCTGTTATGAAAGTTTCTCTGGTATAACATGGGTGATGTTAGCATAGCAACCGAAGCTAAACTGACTACTTGCTAAGCCGTTTTATACAGGCACTTTTTACCGGCGTATTTTTCATTATGATTCTACTTGTGATAGTCGGACATGACAACCTGTGCAGCCCATGTATTGATTCCATCCGATAGCTGCTATAATAACAAACAAAACGTCTGCCTGCTCTCCACAATGATCAATAACAGCGAACGGATGGTCAAAGTAAGGTACAAATAAACAGAATCACACGAAGCCTGGTTAGTGTTGCCTGACTTTATAAAGCGTGTTTTTTTTTACAAGTGTGTGGTTGCGTTCTAGTCACTTTGCTCAGCACTACTGCTGGTTACAACTTTTATTTGCCGTACTCGCCTTAACTGTTATCTCAGGTTAATCTCGCCCCCCTCCGACGTAAGCGGTTCTTGCTTCTACACGGACAACTTTTTGGTGCTCGAAACGAACCGGATTCCGGAGCTTAGAGGCTGCTCCGCTGCGGTGTGAACAGGAAAACCCGGTGCTTTTCAAGCACCAGCACCGAACCGGCCCCGAAACACCGTTGGTGTGAATGGGGTATCAGAGGGGCATGGGGAGTGGCTCCTTATTTTCATCTAAAGTAACAGACACAGAATCAGCACTTTTGAAACAGGGCTGAAACAGAGGGGATTATGGGATGCTACAGTGATCTGTTTGGTATTCGGAGCCAAACACTTCAGAGACATGTTTTGTATATAACTGAGACCTATAATGTATTGATGAAAAACAGTATAATAGGGGACCTTTAAGCCAATATTTGCTAATGGTTGTATTTTGCACATTAGGGATGTATAGCTTGCAGCAGCATGAGGAACAGCATGGTGCCAGCTATAACTTTTCCCCTCTTTCCTGTTGCCTTCTGCAGCGATCATTCTGCAGCGCCATGATGGATGAGCTGCGTGTCTCTCTGAAGTGCCAACGCCGCCTCAAACAGAAGCCTCAGCCGCCCGTCATCGTCAAGACGGAGGAGGTCATTAACATGCACACGTTCAACGACAGGAGACTCCCAGGAAAAGAAACCATGGCATGAACGCTGAGCAGACCCCGAACACACCCCTCGATTAAAACCATGGAGGGGAGACGGGGTCAAAATAACGCTGACTTAACCGCAGACTGAGGTTAGCAGCCAGGACAGGATTCCTTTTGAACCCACTTGCCTATGTAGACGGATGTTTCCTGTGGAAATATAGATACCTGAGCAGTGTCACCTCACTGTGACGTTCACTTTTTGAAGGGAGCTGGAAAGGAAGGACTTAAAAAAAAATATGTAAATTGATAAAGGGATCCAAGCAGTGTTTGGGTCAAAATATAAGTCTGGTCCACACTAGAAGTGGACTTAAATACATTTACATATCAGATAAATGCACACACATAGGCACAGACACACATATACACACACATACACATACACACTCTCATCTGACACACTTTAAACCTGTGCAGAAGGGGCAACTCTATTGTGACAGTAACACCAGATGTAGTTTTTCTGTTGATGTCAATGCCCTTTTGTCTTACCTCCATGTGTGTTTGACTCCCTTCAGTGGCTTGAGTTTCTTTTAAATGATTTAAACAAACACTAATCTCACACCAACAAAAGGGACCGGTAGTCAGTGCCAAATGGTTTACTATGAACCAATGTATAAAAGTGATATTTAGTTTGGAATCATCTGCCGACCTTGTCGAATACTCATCTTTCTTCTTCTGTAATGCCTTTTTCTCGTGCCAAAGTTCTGCCATTGTGAAGAACTTTTTTTTACCATGCCTATGATTAAGTTCAAAGCCTCTACAAGCAATGTATACTGTCAACGTCCTTATTCATGTCCGTCATTACACGCAGTTTTCACTCTGTATCAGTTGTTGTTTGAAAAATGCAGGATTTCTACAAAAATGTTTGTTTTTGTACAAGAACAAGAAGTTTTGTAGTACTTTGTATCATGGTAGCCCCTCCTGTGGACAAAATATGTAGCAGATGCCAACTCAGCCCTCAAATGATGTCAACTGGTGGCTGTGGGGCTTCAAACTCTGCTGTGTAGGGTTCATCTCTCTCATCACTCTGAGATCCAGTCTTTTGTCTGTCGGTATCATGGGGCCAGCTGTACATACTGTCTGGGGACAATGTGCTGGGGTTGGGTGGGTAAGAACAATACAATTATAAACTAAATGGTGTTCAAAGTAGGAAAGGCATTGGCTTATTCTGGAAATTGTAGCTTCTGTTGGTTGACCACTGTAGCTATGATGAGTCACCATGAAAGACGTAGTAAAACATGCGTGTGTTGAAGATACACACAGCTACTAAGCTACGATGTTGTTACCAGGCTACATTTCAGCTGTGGTAGACTGCAAATGGTTTGAAAGTAGGTATTTTTTAAGACATATTTAGGAAAAGTGCTGCACTGTAAAAAAAATAATTAAAGAAATCCTCTCTTGATCTTAGAAAATGATTGAAACTAGTGGATTTCATTGATAAGGAAAATGTTCCAATAATCCCACAGCACTGACCAATTCTGTTATAGAAAAATAAGCAAAAAAAGATTATATTTCCCTATGAATTAAAAAACTTAACACAAGGTCAATTTAGTCCCAGTTCTGGAGCTTTTTAACATATCACATTATTTTCATTAGCACCTTGTTTTTGCTCAGTTGCCATTTCAACTTTCAACTGTCAACTTCTTAAGACAACATGTTTTAAGTCCTAAAAGTGCTCATATAAAAAGGAATGATGTAATATCCATCATTCAAACTGGGAAACTCTGCTGAGGTAGATCATGTGATATTATCAAAAGCTCCAGGGTAGCTACTAATAAGTGGCGTACATGTTTTCTCGACTGCTGTTTCCAAATCCAGGAATGAATTTTGAACCTCAGTGACGGGCGACCTGTGAATGTATGTAACGGTACAACTGCAGTAAATGTGATGTGGGAATATTAAGCAGCTTCGAGGCACTTCCTGTATGTTTCCATAGTAAATGTCTCAACTTGGCTAGCTGCGTCATTTATGTTCCCCAAAGTAGTCTCGAGCGACCCAGGGGTGTTGTTGTTAATGATATCGTGTGGGCGGAGCAGATTGTTTATCCACTAATTGTCTCCAGATTCTCGTCACAAATCACATTTGGCCCCACGACACTTCTTATCTGTTAATGCTGTCCCATGTTGTGAAATGACAAGCATACTTGGTAGGTTTCTTCTTCACTGCCCCTGTCTTCTTACACTATCCTGTTAATCATTTGTTATTCCAGGGAAGACAAAAAAAAAAACACTAGGGCTGACGCTAGTGATGACATCTCTGCTGTACATGAATGAATTTAGTCAAGGTTTTATTGAAAACAGCCACATATACACATTATGAAAGTTGACAGGGAAGACATAAATCCTGAAAATTGTTGGCGTTCTACCAGTGTTGCTTGTCATTTTCCACACAGCTAAATCTAGCGGTGCGAGCTGAAGTGATTGAATACCTTGAAACATTTATTAAAAACAACTCCGAAGGCTTGGCTGTCCTATTGAAAAAAAAAAAAAAAGAAATGTGAGCTCATGGAATTTGACTTCGATGCAAAGTTTTACAAATAATGTCATTAAAAATTTCATCATTGTAGTTCTGCTTTTTGATATTTACTTTGTTTGATATTCTTTGGGTAACAAATGAACTGTAGACAGGAATCTCATTTTCCTAAAGCCATCAAGCATCATGATGAGCATTATGACTTGCATTATGTTGAAATGTCAAGCGATTCTAATTGATTAAAGGAACACATTAGGTAATTGGTAAAGCGTTAATCAAATCAAGATTGTAAGGATGTCAAGCAGCTTTTTTTCTGACCAACTCACTCTCTACTCGGCTGTGTGCTTGGCTCTCTCTGACCACAGAGTTTTATGAAACAGCCCTCTGAGAGCCCAGAAATCCAGATTACTGTGAGTATAAAATTCACAATGATACACGGGAGACTGCACAGCCGGGGCGAAATAAATGTCAAGAAAATGTTCCCCGCGTTCTGACTCTCTGATTCTTCATTGTTTATTGTTATTTCACTCCCACAGGCGGAGGCAGGCGGGCTTTCAGACAGCTCAGGGTTTCTGACACGGTTTTCTGGGAGTAATGATGAAAAGTGTTCCTTCAGCTCGAGCTCTGCAGCCACAACACAAATGGCCACCCTGTCTGCCCTCCAGATCGACAGGGAAGGTCGCAGCATGCGTCAGTGTGTTCAGCGGGACCGTTTAGTCTGTCACACTTATTTCCATCATATTAAGTTCTCTTCCTTCTTTTCCTAAGTGGTCATTGGGAAAGTATCCTTGGATAACATCTTGTTCATTAGTCAATTAATGGTCGAGATTGCGTTGTGGACTGAAAATTGCTTTCTGAATGTGACTTTGGTTTGTCATACAGATATTATAGTCTAATAGCACCTGCCAAGGAAGGTTTTGTGAAGGAGGAAATATATTCCTCTGCTCATTTCCCAGAGCTTTTAATAATTCAGGATCCCAGATTAAGAATCATGTAAATCCAATCTTTTCCCTTTAAACAAGTAGCCAGTACTTGCACTTGTAAAGCCATTACATTCAGTAGGGGTGGAATATATAATTATATATACAGTCACACCATGAGATGTTATAAATGCATCATTAGAGATTTCAGAATAGTTTAGACTGTATTCATATATTTGTAATGGCTGTGGTACAAATCAGTGAGCAGGACTGCTTAATGGCTACATTAGATTTTTGAATAAATGTTGCACTAATGTGTTGGAATTACCTTTTAGTGTATTTCATTTGCCAGATTAACCATACAATAAATATGCATGTTCTGTTTGCACAGTTTTAGCCACACTAGCAGGACCATTTCGGTAAGCATTTGGAGGAATTGCCATGATGGATTTGCAGAATACTGGGGTCATTATTTGCGCGTAGTTGTGAGACGTTAGCATTTTTTTTTCTTTTAAAGACTGTGGTCACCATTAAATATGTGGAAAATATTCTACAACACAAATGTAAAACACCTCAGCGCCCCGGTGCCACAGGATATTATTATAACACTGCCCACTGCAATTCAATCTGAGCATGCAAATCACTGCAACTGATACACAATAACGCTTAGTAATATCACTCATCTAAACATTTATAATAGTTTTTTAAGATCAGATTTTAAGAGGTTACAAATGCATTAAAACTGTGTATTATAATATAAAATGAAAAAAGTAGATCATGTATTTCTCAATGCAGTCCTTGTGTTTCAGGTATAAGAAAACGTGCAGACTACAAAATAACTTGTTGCTTTCAAACTCAATAATTTACCACCATCTGATCATCCTCCCTAAAGCAAATAACTGATTCCTTGCATGGTCTGTGTAAATAATTTAATGATGTGTTACCATGTGGCTCATATCAACAAAGCTAGTAGCAATTGTTGGTGAATATATGCAGCCTGCGGTGGACGATTCCCACTCTGTAGACATTTCAGCTGCAGAAATTAGCTTTGACTCCTTTCTGTGGAGATCAGCATGTATAATATGAAATCCTGGGGAAATGCAATAAAAGAGAGATAGCGGTAACAGCGTGAGCTGGGCAGGCATGGTCGGTCTAAAGGTGATGATTTGGTACGCATTAGCCGCCACATGTGTGTGCCCAGAGATACCTCAGGTGGGTGTATTGGAGGAACCGTTGACCCCACATGAAGACATCTAATGTTCTTCCTCTTCGTGGAACTAAGTGTATTATCTGTGTGAGCGTGTGGGTTTATATGCACAGTGTTCACCATTTGCCACCTGCATGTCGGTTTCTGAGCCCAGGGGGACAAACCCTGTTTCGACTGCAAACGAATTTCAATTTGAAGAAGTGATCTTTTGTGTCATGTAGTAATTTGTTTGGATGTGGTTTTCTATCTGAATGTAGTTTTTTCCCCCTCCCAGTGGCAGATGTGTTGTGGTGGGTGGCAGCTGCAAAATGGAGGAGCACAGCTTGCTAAGTGATTCACCCCGCTCCTGGCGTCTCCGTTACCCCATGAGTCTTTTCACTGACAATGTTTTCATTTCTGTTTGCTTTATGTGTAACTAGGATGGTGAGCTCAATGCTTTTGACAGCTCTGTCAGAAAGAATGACAGTGCTGGTTGTCTTATAAAGTCGAGGTGAGAGAAACTAATGGGACGTTTGGAGGCTATTTCATTTTCATGACCTATTCTGTTCTCGTCTTGTGGAAAAACAAGGTTATGGCTGAATGTGACACCAAATCACATTTCGTGATAGACATCCTGATGATGCTCCGTCGGACAAAAACCCCCAGACTGATACTGCAAATGAGCTCGCTATCTGATGACATCTGCTGCTTTTTGTATAATGCACACACCGGAAATAATAGTGTTGAGTGTTGAACCAGTCACAGCTCCTGACAGGAGAATCACTGTTTTCTTCACTGCTGTCAAATAGCACTTTCATACCTTACCAAAAATCCTCCATTAGGTTCTAAAAAAAAAAAAAAGTGTCTCTCTATCCTCCCTCTCTCTGCCTTTGAGTCATTCATACTGTTGATTCCACCTCTGGAGGAATACATCAGGCATAACGCCCTTTTCTTTCATCAAGGCAGCAGCTTTAAAGTAATTTTCTTCCTCTCATAGTGAGCCAAATGGAGACGAGAAGATGTCGATTCTCTCATCTCTTTGTCTGTCCCCTTTGATCTCTTTCAACATGAATCCCCAACGCACAGAAAGTAAATGGGATTTTTTTTTCTCCCTCTGAAGCATGGTTGATCATACAAAATTGACCACAAATGACTCCTAATGACCCCTGTGTTTTACTGTGGGGGAGAAGAAAAAAAAGCATACACCAAAACACTCTCCTGGCTATCATTACTCATAGTGCATTTTAATGAAAGATGAATAATTCAGGGTGCACTTTTAGATGTAATAGCCCAGTGAAGCTGATGCTGTAAACATCTTTATGGAGGCTTTGCCATCTGTGTTTGTGTGTGTTTTTCGGGGGGACCGGGAGGGTTTTGCGACAAAGGTTTTAACGGTGCCTGCATGCATGCCAGTGTGTGTTTTTGTGTCTGTCGCACTAACAGACAGCAGTTGTGATTTATCTTGTGCAGGGGCCCTCTCTATCTCACTGGAAAGGTTAAAGCATACAGCCTGGAGACGGTACTACAAAGGTCAACGTGCAGTTTAGGAATGAGGAATAGGACGATAGAGAAGAAGAAGAAGAAGTGTCCACCTCGCCTTCTCTACGGACCTGAATACGGCTTGTGACAACCTGAAAACACAATTTGCATCGTTTGCAGCCATAGCCCAGCCATATTTATCCTTTTTCTCTCGATCCTTTATCCCCTGTCTCATTATTATCGCCACCTTCCCGGGTTACCTCCAATATCTCATGCCATAAAAAGAGCTGACCTTGAGGAAGTCATCTCCAGAGATAGTATAGGGGGGGAAAAGCGAGCCGTATAGCAAAAAATTATGGTGTGTAACAAAGAGAAACTGTAAACAAAGATTGTTATTTTAATGGACTCCCTCAAGCCTGGATGTGCTTAGCAGAGAGACTGTGAGGGAGACAGCTGGTTATAGCCAGGCCATTAAAGAGGAGCAGGAGAATAGAGAGAGGCTTGTGAAGAAACACCAGTTCTTTGGTGAGTCAGAAGTGTTGAGGTGATTAATTTGTTGACTGTGTCCTTCGTGGGCCTGAGGGGGAGAGAATACAGCGACACCAGGGTGCCCCCTAGTGGAGGAGAGAGGAAGTGACAGAATAAATGAATCCGTTTTTCCTCACCATCACTTAACTTGAGTTCAGCAGTGACAGGTGGGTGCTGCGATTGAAAACGATAGTGTTTTTCACTCTTCAATTATTTGTAATGGGTTTTTTTATGGAATACTTTGCTATTCCTTTTTTTTACACATACTGACATTTATTATATTACGGGAACACTTTAACTATGAATGTATGGAATGCTATAAATTCTTTATGTCATACTATACTGTGACGTTATTGATCTTTTTTTTTTTGTAATGACATTATATAGAATATGACTTTTTGTTATACGTGTTTTATGACGTAGTACACTATGACTTCTTTATTGTCATAACAGATGTTGTGTTTTTAATGACATACTATAATGACGCTTTTATGGCCTTTTTATGGCATACGACATGTGTTTGGAAATACTACATTATGACTATACTATGATTTTTTCTCAGACATATATTACTATGACTTTTTATTTGATGTACTATGACTTTTTTTTAAATACTATATTATGACTTTTTTCTAAAGACACTATACTATACTCAGATTTTACGACATTTTATACTATGACTTTTTTTATGACATACTATATTATGTTTAAAGAAAAATCTACATACCCAGATTTTGGACATACTATTCTAACTTCAAGATACTTTGATATAACTTTTTTCTGATGTTTTTCACATACTATACCTTTTCTTTTACATACATTATTTGACCTTTATTATGATTTGCTTTACTATGAGTTTTTATGGCATTTTTCCATATTACAATCCCATGTAAATAGAAAATAATTCAAACCGTAAATAAACAACTTCGATTTCTAGTAGGAAATTATACATACTTTAATGCCAATATAATAGGTTTATTTTCCAATCAAGTCAAACATTTAAGACATATTTTAAAATCCAATCCAAGGTTCACAGAAATAAAAAAAGGCAGTACACTTACATTGGGGCTAAAATAATGAGTGATATGCACATAGAAGAACATTTTTCCCCATTCAGAAGCAATCAGTGCTTGGCTCGAGGCGTACTCCAAAGAAGGAGAGCACAGAAGACGCTCTCTGGCCACGATGCAGAGATTAAAACATAAACAAACACCAGAAATGTGAGGTTATTAGTCAATACAAGGAGGTATCTGCACTTCAAACTGCCTTGGTTGGATTTATAGGTCCTTTAGGTCCGATGTTCCAGTATGATTTACATTAACACAATATGAATCCGACATAATACAGTTCAGTTAAAAAAATAAACATCATAAATGATCATCCCCTAGAATACATTGTTTCTGCAGTCAAGGCAAAGCACAGAGCAGCTGACAGAGGCAACAAACCTACACAACAACCACATGAGGGAGCTGAGGTTTCCCTGCCTGGCATCATGGCATAGTACATCCAGAGTCTGTTGATACATTGTTATGGATAATTCAGGTTTGTTGTCTTATTTACAGGCCTAATGTGATTTTGATATGCTTACGTTTCATTTGCATGGTATCGTTTGGCCATTGATCGTCACTCAAGCATATCAAAGAATAATCAAAGAATGTAGACATTGCCATCACAATCGTCTTCAAGGATATTATACAAGCTAAGGTTTACAAAAAGCCAATAAAAACCTAATAAATTATGTTGATGTTGACATCAATCTCCCTGATCGAAAGAAAGTAGGCTTTTCCTAAAATGTTGAAAAGAAAAGTCAAATACAGCCGTTTTTCCAAAAATGTTGAGACAATATTTTGGCCAAATAATGAAATGAGCCCGATTTAAATGTACTTTAAAAATGTTTCCACAGCACTAATGCATGCCATCAGTTTTACGTTTGTTTCTTATAGAGAGCCGAAATGACAGTCTAGATGACATTTGTAACTTTGCTATTTACTAAAACCACAGCCTACGATCAGAGCCTCTCTCGATAGTATGTCCTGAGGCTTGCTTTATACGTTTAGATAAGGACGGTAGTAGTAGCGATCTAATGTCTTTTGCTTATTCAATATCTATGTTTTGGGCATTTAAACAGCATTTAAACTGGTGTCGTAATATGACGTAATATACTTGAAATAGTGGCTCTGCAGCAGCTCTACTCGACATTGAGAAACGGCCATAGACTAAAGTAACGATGATGCAGTACCCGAGCTGCTGCACCATATTTAGTGGAAGCTGAAGGCTTTCTTATGCTTACAAAGTCATCCTAGTTTAACATTGGTTTGACTTCAGACAGACGATGATTGTGAGGCAAAGAAAACATGTGACCACAAAGCCTGAATTATCCGTTTAACTTAACACAAATCCATTTAATAGAAACAAAAAAACCTTTAAAAAATGAATCTGATCCATCCCAGTTTCTCAATAAATATCACAATCTTTGTTAATATGGTGTCATAAAAGTGATATCATCTCTACAATGCCTTTGAACACTGCATACCGCCACATCTGCAATTTCATTTCTTCAATAACACCGCTGCAAGGCAGAAATGCACCAGTGTTCACTCTCAGATTGGTGTACATTTCAAAATGAAGAAGCCACAGTGATGTTTTTTGGATTGGGGTCTTAAAAAAAATGATAACACATTTAGGATTTGTTCTTGTTTGATCCTTTTGCTGAGACAGATGTTCACCAATGTTTGGTATTTAGTAAAACCCTGAGCAACATTTTTGATGGTTGCATGCATGATACTGTTCAATTCAAAACTCAAGTATGTGATTCTACAAATGTGTTATCCGACATGCCGCCTTAAGAAACCTCTATGATTACCATTTTATTATCACTACGTTAAGGAGATTATTCTGTATTGTACAAGAACGTTTCTTTGCTGTGTCAAATATTAAACAGGACAATAAAGAGATCAATCAGTAGTTACATTGATTGGAAGTAAATATAAAGCTACTAACAACAATATCATCACTATATTTTTTACCACGGTTGTGTATTATGTTCGTAACTGGCCCACTGCAACAAAGTGATTCGCTCAGCAGAGGGTGAACTGTAATACTGCCATCATATGCTAAATCAATCTTTGATCTCAAGAGTTAGTTTAAAAAAGTACTTTTAACAATATTCATCTTCATAAACATTTTTTTTTTTAGAATGCCGTCTATGCAATGTCACCATTAGTACAAAATCTACTGATTTTCAACTGTTTAAAATGTCGCTCTAAACTACAAATGCAGTTTGCAACAAGACGGGGCGTCGTCTCCAAAGCACACAACTTCTGATTATCCGAGGCTGTAAAAATGGCGGACAAAAGCCATATAGCCCAAAAAAGAGGAAAAATCGATTTGGTAATAGAGTGAGACAAACAAAACAGAGATAGGCACTCCTTGTGCGAAGTACAATCCTATTGAAGTGGTTACAAAACGGTTATGATAAAATACCAACACGCTAAAAATAACAGTCCATATCTTTTCAAAGTGTGTTCACACGGGAATGTTAAATATTTAACACGTCAATAGCTAGGGCAACAGGCTGAGGTAAGCTCACTGGCTGTCTGCCGCTAAGTGATGAGTTTATACTGACGGTATAACAGAGCTGGCAGAAAAACGTCACCCTGGATGTGAGACAAACATTCTCAAAACTTGTGATAAACCTTCAAAAAAGGGCTTTGATTGTAAGATATTTGGAGTCACAAGTGACGAGCCATTTCAGGGCTGATTTGTTTAAAATGTGGTGTGACTCTAGTGCGACAAGTGGCAATTGAATGAACAAAGAACTGCATGGTGGAGGTAAAGGAGGTCTGGGAGGAGGTAAGGAGTTTGTGGAGGAACAGCGCATATGAGGTAGGCTTTTGCTGTAAACAAAAAAAAAAAAGGTTTTGCAGTAAATGAAAAAAAGTAACTCATCAAATCTGGGAAGGAAGACCAGGGAGTCTGTGGCAACACTGGGGAACCTCTCACACAACACCTCAGTACATTAGAGACCTACAGTTAATCATACAAGCTCATCAAAAAAAATACAAAACAAAAGGAAATGCACAACTATGTATAACTCAAGAGGTAGTTGCTAATATCAGTACATGAATCGGTTACACACGTCTCTTCACCATCGCTTAACAGAGTTTGTTGAGTCAGTCAGTGGATGATTCCCAAAAGAATAAAATACACTTTTTTGGTTAATTCCCTGAGAACAGTTCATCATCCTGAGAGGAATTGTGTGTAAAAATGTACAAATACATCATACAAAAAGATGTTGTTTCCATAAAGATCTGAGCATGGGCTGTGCTCCTTATGTTGTTTGGTCATTCACTTTGATTTTCTGTCATGCTGCATTGTTGAGACTTGATTTTTTCTTTTTTTTAACGCACGCACACATTCAGAAAGCTGCACATTTAAAAAAAAAAAAAAAAACGATAACCGCAGTGTTGCGCTTTCAGCAATAACTCCTTCTTATTGTGAAAGGGCAAAAACAGCAAGCACTTTAAATCTTATCTTGAAATGCCTTCAAAAAATAAAGCCAAACTCTTTGGTATAGAAATATACCAAAATTAAGTTGGTTGTCTACTTAAGAGCTTTTTAAAAACACACAAGCTAGTTTCATACAAAGTTATTTGATTTGTCAGAACATTAAGATACAACTCCAAAGCGACCCGATGTGAACTTTGTGAGGCGTCGACTTCAGGTAAGCTCTTTTCACATTCAATATGGTCAGAGAAGAGTTGTAAGGTCACAAATAAGTGCCACTAAAGCCACGCTTGGAATTCAAGTTATACCAAAAGCAGCACTCCTTCTCTCTCTCTCTCTCTCTCTCTCTCTCTCCCTCCCTCTCTATCTCTCTTCAGTGAGTCTCCATCCTGTGGAGGGGCGAGCGATGCCTAGCTGGTGCTAGCTAACAACTGGTAGGCACAGATGGAAGAGGAACAGGTGGTTCGATCGTACTGCAACACAGCTGGGAGAGCAAACAGCTAGGGAAGAATAGGTGAGGTATTAAGTAAGTAGAGCAGCTGTGATGACACTGTAATGGTCTGCACCTTTCATCGAACGAGGTGTGCTGACTCCTTGCACTGAAGTAAACGGAGAAGGCGTGGAGTACATTGTAAAAACGTCAGTTTGATTCGTCATGGATGAAAACGGTTAAATAGAGAGAGAGCAACAAGATTTCACACAACAACAAAAGTATCCCATACACTATACAGGGCTATTTACCGTCAGAGCTAAGTCCTTATATATGCTTTACTTAAAGTTAATAGAATTTATATCTTGTGACTTTACATATATATTAATTACTTATACTATGATTTATAAATTGTAAGGTTATTTTTTTAACTAATTATACAACAACCAAAGTGGAAGTCTAATGATCATTACGTTGAATCTAAACTATGGATTATATGAGGTTTTAGCTAAACTGCTCTATCTCTAATAATAGGAAACTGAATCGTTAATAGCGAGGACTCGCACCTGGGGGGGGGGAGGGGCCAGTCTGACAGAGAGGCTTTGTTTCGGAGCACAACACATGCATACCAACACACACTCCTTTTCCCTCTCTCAGTCGTGCACGCACAAACACACTGTGACAATCAGTCGGTCCGGTCTATTTCGTGAAAAGGGAGAGGTTGGAAGTGAGTGTTTAAAGATTTATAAGAATGTGTTTAGCAGCTCATCTTCTTTTAAAAGCGCCCTCTGAAAAGGGTCCCTACAGATCTTCACAAACCAAGCTAACAATCCTGGGGGTCTGGATTATCACTTAGAGGGTCTCGAGCTTCTAAAAGCCTTAGAAATGAGCTACCGTGTGTGCAGCATGATTTTCAGAATGACTAGGCCTACAGGATAGAAATTGGAGGCTTTCAATCAACGACAGGTGTGAGGGGAAAAGCCAACACTTAGGTCCGAGGAGAAGAAGAAAAAAAACACAAGATTCATACCATGTTGTTTCACTCTTGAGCTGCACTGATTGAAACAAGAAAAACAGTCGATCCCTGCAGTCACCATTCCAGCGGTGGTTGCCATAGCTGCACCAGATGACTGCAAGTCAGTCACACACATTCACGCTTGTCCGTACCCCGTGGATCGTTGCCATAGCTGCGCTGGTTAGAAAAATAAAAAAATAACATTCAAAGTAAAGAAATCAAGACCTCCCATTTTTTTTTTTTCACAGGTGTGAGGTAGATGAGGGGGGGTGGGGGGGGGGGGTTCAGGTATCCTTGATTGAGGGGAGACGTGAGGGTCAGGGGTCAGCGGCACACCTCTCTGGGCTGTCTTCAGGACTTCCTCCACCTCTGGGTCCGGGGGCCGCGGGGAGGCTGGGGCTCCTCGGGGGAGGAGGAGGACCCCTCGAGGGGAGGGGAGCCCGAGCGCTCCTCCTCCTCCGGCGGGCTGAGGAAGGGCCCCGTAGAGGTAGACACATTTTGGTCCTGAGAGCCTGAGGCGGGGGCCAGCGCCTTGTGGGGGCACTGGGCCACCATGTGCGTGATGCTCTGGCAGTAGTGGCATTTCTTTGGCTGGGGGGGCAGGCCACACTCCTTGGCATGGTGATCCAGACCTCCACAGTTATAACAGCTGCAGAGAGACAGAGAAAATGGGATTAACAATAACCCATACATGTGCGATATATATCATTTATTATACACACAAAGATATTCACTTTATTTATTGTATGTTGTCTATTCTGAATGTTTTGATGGCACCTTAAAATGAGTAGCTTTACTCTTCTTGTATAATGACAGTAAATGCTTATAATTCTAATAACATTTTATCCACCGCATTAAAGAGTACAAAGTAGGGCTGCTCGATTATGGCAATAATCATAATCTCGATTATTTGGGTCAATAATTGATATCACGATTATTAAAAACGATTATCCATTTACTTTGAAAACATCCATTTATTGAAAAAGAAAATTGAACAGTATGTTTTTAACAGTTGATAACTCTGAATTTTAAGTATAATTCAACTGAAAAACCAATAAAAAAAAAAAAATTAAATAAAAAAATAAAAATAATAATCGTTTTATTTCGATTATGTTGTTTTCATAATCGTTGCAAGCCAAAATCGTGATTGCGATTAAAATACGATTAATTGAGCAGCCCTAGTACAAAGTACTTCATCACATTATTAAATAGTAAATGGACTGTATTTATACACAGGTGTCCATATACTTAGGAGAGATACACACACATTGAAAACATGCATGTTCAGTATCTTGCCTTAGGACACTTCTGTACCACAGCTGCCCAGGCATTTGGGAGTATGTATATGTTTATAACTAGGGCTGTGCAATTAATCGTATTTTAATCGCAATTACAATTTTGGCCTGCCACAATTACGAAAACAACATAATCGGAAAAAACGATTATTTTGCTTTGCTAGGTTGTGACAGTGCACTGCAACATATTTGTATTTATCATATTTATATATGTTTATTAGCTTGTTGAAGTGCGCTCCAAAATATTTGTTGATCTTGCTTATTGGTATTTATTATTTTGATATTATTTATTTAAATGTAAATATAAATGTATAATTTATTTTATTTATTGGTTTTTCAGTTGAATGATACGTTCAGGGTAATCAACAGTTAAAAGATACTGTTCAAATTATTATTTGTATTTTTTTTTAAAGTTCAATAAATTGATGTTTTCAAAGTCAATGAATAATCGTATTTAATAATCGTGATGTCAATTATTGACCAAAAATAATCGTGATTATGATTTTTGCCATAATCGCACAGCCCTATTTATAACTACACTTTCATTACTTATTTATTCAGTATCTGTACGGAAAATGTTCTAACAAAATCAAAACATTATTCTACAAAAAAAAAAGATCTCAAGTATATCCTCATTAAACACCAGCGCTGCGGAGTTGAAACACCGGCTCCAACTAGGATGTAACACTAGATGGCAGCATAACACATAATATGGCTCCGGATCAAATGTGAGGTTCACATCGATACTGCTTTATTACATTTGACAGGAAGCAATTGGGTGCTAGAAGGATTACAAAAATGAACCACATCAAATCAAATGGGCAGTGTTGGCTCTTTAATACATTAGATGCTTGTATTCTTAAGTATGAAGTACTCTTTGTATATTTAAGCGCTTTGAGCACCAGGAAAAGCGCTATATAAATCATATGTATTATTATTATTATTATTATTATTATTCTTCAAGGCTTGATTTCTCATTTCACGGTTTGATGTCTGTTCCTTGTTAACCTGATGGACAATGCTCAACACTTAAAGTCTTAACCAGAAGATTCATTTAGTGTTTTGAATTCTATAATAGCACACAGTGTAACACTCTCCTGTGTGGTGATTTGAAACAGAGTCATGCTGTCTTTAGGTAGAAGATGAAAGCAGTACATGATCATGAAACAATGGTTCACTATCAACGTTTTAAGTATTGCATCTCGTTTCACAGCCAATTAACAAAATTAGCTTTTGAGTCAAATGCTGCCAGGATTTTCCAAAGAAGGCTGTTTCAGTCCTGGTTGCTTTGGAAGGAGGCTGGATTATGTCCAGAGAGAATTGAACAATTATCCACATGGACAGATGGATGGATATTTCTGATGAATATGTTTGCAATGGCTCTTAATTAAAAGCATTACATTGATATACCATGAATAAGTCACACAAGTGCTTATAACCTGATTCATAAGGGTACAAATGAAAAATACTTTCAATAGCATGGTTTAAATGAATAATCAAACATCAGATTAAGATGTGTTTAACAATGATGAAGTAGTATATTTATATTTAACATTCTATTTTGAGGTTTATTATATGCAAAATCATTTATAAAAAAACAGCTTTAGCTCAGCTGAATTAAGTCAAAGGCTTTCAAATAGAAATGCTTTACATTTACAGAGAATCATTTGCCCAAAAATCTATTGCATATTTTAGCAAAACTGAAATAAAGAAGTTGTCCGTTTTTTTTTATCAATTAAGAACCAATACGGTATTCTGTAAAGAAACTATTTTGAAAATATTATCGTCTTTAAAAAGCTTGTATTTATTGTGAATAATTAATCTAAACATTAATTAATAATCGTATTATTATTATTATTAGGAAACCACCTCTGATACCACCCCATCATAACCAAGATAATAACAAAATGGAGAAATAAAGCATTTCATTGAACAGTTATGTGTTTGATTTAAATTGAGATCTTTTCATTTGAGACTGTGTTTGAAAAAATGGTTTACTATTTCCACAAAAACGTGACATTTCAACACAAGTCTCACATCGAAACATCTTTAAGAGAGTTAAAGAACCTCAGTGTAAAGGATGGACTACAGACTGTTGGGTTGCACAGCAGAGTGACCAGCAGCGCTCAGAGCAGCTAACCGCTCGCTCTGAGCGCTCACAAAGACCCGATGACATCACAGACGTCTACCTGCCATCTCTGAATCCAACACCACCTCGCTGCCACCTTAGCAGCAGGTAGAGACACTTGACCTAACACTGGATCAATTATCCCAAATAAACTGAATTATTCAGCTGTGTAAAACAATAAGGGAGCCTTCCCTCAGATACTGTTCCCCTTTTTCTAACAAAAGCTTTTTCTTTTCACACCTTCGAAACAGGGCGACTCAGGGCTGCAGCAGCTGTGATGCAGCACAAAGAGTGGTAGAGATGGACTTTTAAATGCAAATGCAGCCTTAGAGTGGTCATGTGATGTGTTCCCGCAAACATATCCAGCATATACAGCTCTTCCTGGCAGCGCTTGCTAAACATGACTCCCTGTCAACAGGAGGACGGGGGAAATCAGCCTCTTGTGTTCAAACCACCAGGCGTTTTCAAGGAGCTCTATATGGCTCGCTCTGACAGATTTTAGCAAAGCGCCCTTCAGGATTTTACTGAGGACAAAACAATTGATTGAGCTAGTGCCGCATTGAGATGCATATAAGCCCAATCCATCCCGGTGCTAATGCCGCCTCTAAAGTAAAAGCTGGCAAATTGATTTAAAATAGCGGCAAAGGCAGGCAAAGTGCCCTATTCAATTCCTTATTATGGTGCACAATAACCATAGCAACAGACATGTACTCGGGCAGATTGAATAGATTTAATCTATAATCTCAGCCCACTCACAAATAGCTCACTGCAGCGAGATGTACATATAGCATATGTCTCCTTCTGCTATAGGCAGCCGTGATTTCTAAATGCAGGCTGCCAACGGTCACATATATTCAGTTTGCTTTAAATGAAACATTACATTACTGCTGACTCACAAAACAGAGGATAGGGCTGCACACTATTTCATTTTCTTATTGTCAAGATATCAATTAACGCAGAAAAAATTAAAAAAATCTCAAAAGACTGTACGCACTTAAAATAAGCCTTTCATTGTTTTATAGGTGTGTTCAGTTTAATGTACAATTTGATGTTGTTGGAAATGTTGGAAATAATACTAATTAAATCACTCACCGGTCTCCCTTTGGTTTGCGTTTCTGGAGTGGGACCTTGGCTTTGGGTCTCCTTTCGCTGCCTGCGCAGGGTCCCCCCCCAGGCCCGTTCACCCGCAGGGACTCCAGGCCCTTAGAGCATTTCTTATAGGTGAACTCCACCTGCTCTCCCTCCTTTAAGCTGCGGAAACCCTCCATCAGCAGTTTGCTCTGTCGGGAGAGAAAAGCAATTATCAGTTTAAAAGATGTAGGCGCTTATAGCTCAATGTATTCTTTGAAAAAATGATAAAATCCTGCAATACACAAGGGTCTAAATGATATCAGGTGGTGTCCAGTTTGATGTAGGATACACGTATAATATGATAGTGCTCATGTTACTTCAATTTGCTCTAATTTCAGTATAAAAGCATGAAGTTACACCTGTTTCTGATTAGATAATTGATAATATATAATTTCATATAACAATAATTATGATTGGATATATCATTTTTACAAGATATATATGATTCTGTAATACAAATCAGTGGAACACATGAGTAAGAAAATGTATATATATTCGTCACTCAAGGCCACATGTCCGTGAATAATGCTGAAACACATTTGAAGCTTTTCAAGAGACAAATCTCTCCAAGATATTGTTATGAAAGACTCCATACACAAATTGTTATCAAGATGTACTTCACCCTGACTGCTTCTGCTGTGTGTTTTATTTTTTACCTCAAATGATACAGTAACCTGACAAAGCCTGTATGCTTTACAAATGTCAAGAGCCTCTTTATTGAACAGAAAAGGTCATTTTCCAATGAAAAGACACATTTGAATGCCTTGGTTCTTAACTTCTGTCCGCCCAGCATTAAGCTCAGCATTAATATTATGCGAGTACACACACACACAGAGCTAATTTAACACTTAAATGATGAACAGCTGCCGGAGAGCTTCTCCAGGTCCCCGATCAACATTTGTAATCTCTAAATAATTGTGGCAGAAGAATCAACACTTTACTGCCGAGGCTTGTACACACTGCAGTAGCACAGCGTGTACACAGAAAGACATGATTCCAACATGGTGGATAGACTGTCTGTGGTTTACACCAACTGCCAGAAAAAAAGTGTGTGTACAGAGATCTCACACACAGCGTCCTTGCTTTACTCCCTTTATCTACTTTTCGCAGAGGCACCACTTCCTATTCCTTTGTGCAGGGAGAAAGGACGAGTACATCGCAATCATTTTCTCTCAGCACACATCCACCGTCCCTCTTATCTACATGATCGGCATTATTGATCTAGTTACTACATAACCACTGCACGATGATTTATGTGCAGCTGATGGCACAGAACGGACGGCTGATAGGCACTGTATGCGTGACCTTCATGAATGGCAGCCGCCCTGCAGATCTCGGTAGGTAAACACACCCACACGAGCACGCAGTGTGCAGTGAGCAGAGCTAACCTACTATACATCGAGGCCTATAAATAACACACAGGCTTTCTGTAAATTCCCGGATGTGTAGGAGAAAGATGTAGAAAAAGGAACAAATTATCAGAGTTAAATGTAAACCATACAGGAAGGAGAGCAAATGTGCTCAGCAGCATTTTCTTTGCATTCAAATTCTGTCAACAACAAAGGAGTTCTTTAGGTGATCCATTAGTGGGAAAGTAATGAATATAAAAGAGAGAAAAGATGGGAAGGTGAAAAGCAGTGAGAAGAGAGTAAGTAGTCATTAATTAATCAAGCTAAGAATAGTGTCTGAGCTCATTGTACTCTGAAGGATATCTGACTACCAATGGCATACAGATTCAAGTGTAACATCGGGATAAATTAGGGTTTGTTAGTTTCACTATATGCTTTTAGAAACTAAGGATAAGGATGTTGTGTTAAAGTTTAAACTGTGTTTCATTCAGAAGCTTTCTATGTTTCAAACTGTTTATAATACAATCAAATAAATCATAGTAAACTCATATTGAAATAATTATTTTGCAGCCGTTAATACAGATTTTAAAATTCCAAATACAGGTTTGCATAATAAATGTGACAACCATCGCATGGAAACATTTGAATTCTAAGTCAGTCAAATTAAATAATGTGAAATAGGCCAAGAATATCACATCATGTTTGGGAAAATATGTTTTAAATATATATATAGTATAATTATTGAATTATATGAATTGAATGTTTAATGTTATCTTTAAAAGGTATTTCTTTCACGAAAATCCAACCTGAAAATTGACATTTTGACTATTTAAAAGAACTAAGATGAGTTAGTTTTCTGTAATAGCTTTGAAACTAACTTTAAACAAAAAATATGTAGATATAGATAGGTACATATAAGACAAACTTAATACATTAAAACAATGTTAAAAAATACAGTTTTGATTAAAAAGAAAATCTGTTCAAACAACTTCTTCTCTTTACTACAGACTTACATGTGTTTTGAAGGGCCATGACATGTATATTGTGCACTGATAGAATTAAACTATAATCATGAATTCGATGCATTCGTTTTATTTTATTCTATTTAAATATAATGTGTGTATCTTTTTAGTACATAACCATTTATTCTGGGTATACTGGAAGGCCACATTTTCCCAAATTCAAAGGCACTTCATACAGGAAAAAAGGGCCAAATTGTGGTGAAACTTGCACAAATATGAAACATAATCAAAACAACTGTGCTTTTCCCTTTAATCTTAACTTTTTGAAGTGACTCTTTCTTTCCATTTTCACAATTTAAAACAAAGGAAAATGACTGATAATGTGCTCAATAAAGAAATGTGGCCCAAAATGTGTCCCTTTCCCTTTTTCATGTTCTTTTTGATTCTTTCTCTGCTGTCAGTGAGGGTAACAGCAAGGACAACTGAACCTTTAGGTGATTGCTTGTGAAGGACTTATCCATTTTTGGTTTTCAGATATTGGATTTGGTTTTGAGGAAAGGACAATAATCAAGTACTGGAGGTTAGGAGTTGCTGTGCTAAAAAAACAACAATAACCAAGCATTGACAATTTATTAATCAACTAAGAACTGCAACAACATGAACCAAAACTGACTTCCTATCATTCTAAAACCACAAATCAAGGAACCTCAATCAGTCAGACCCATGCTTAATCAAAATAAAACCCCAATTGATTGTATGATTACAATCATTAGACCGTCCAAATTACTAGAAGGCACTCCTGCAGCAGAAATCAGCTGAAGGGAATCAAAAATTGCACCCATCCCCCACAAAACAAACATATCCTGAATAATGATGAATAATCACAGACTGGTCTCTAGACCGTGCGGCGCATGAGCCCTTCCTGTTCCTCTCCTGTCTTCAGTCCACAGGCAGCTTGTCTCTCCAGGTCAAAGTTGAGTGGTTTGTCTCGGCACCCTACCCCCTCTTCAACCCCGTCAATGCACCAGTGAGAAAACCACACAACCTCTTTTGTTCTGCCGAAATAAACACACACACACACACACACACACACACACACACACACACACACACACACACACACACACACACACACACACACACACACACACACACACACACACACACACACACACACACACACACACACACACACACACACACACACACACACACACACACACACACACACACACACACACACACACACACACACACACACACACACACACACACACACACACACACACACACACACACACACACACACACACACACACACACACACACACACACACACACACACACACACACACACACACACACACACACACACACACACACACACTTCATATCTGGAGCATGGGCTGGCAGTGGCTAGGTCTCTCCACACTTACGTAATAAAAAGCAGCATGTGGATTTACATGCGTGTGTGTGCCGGTGTGTGTGAAAAACTACATTTGAAAACAAAGTCACAAATCAGAACCTGTAACTTGAGACCCCTCATCTCGGGTGACCTGGCGGGTGTCCTGACCCGTTTCAGTTTACGCACAGAGGTCAGGAAAGGGCACGGACGGGGAGAGGGAACGAAAGAACGTCAGAGGAGGAGAGAGGGAGAACACAAAATGGAGGAGTGGCCTGAAGCAGGGGGCTGGTGGATGAGGGAGGGAGTCCAGAGGAGGAGAGGGGAGGGGGGGGGGGGGGGGGGGGGGGGGGGTTCATGGAAATGCCTCCAGCGCATTCTGTTCAGCTCCAATGGAGGAGCAACTCCTGATCAGTGGCTGGACCTGGGGGGAGCCCAGGAACAAAACCCCCATTTGATCAGGAGCCCCACAGGTCAGCAGCAGAAATCCGGGGGTCAGTGGTATAGCCATCGCAGCCCCCCCCCCCCCCCCCACCCGACTGGCGGACCACACCAGCTCCAGAGCTTTAACTCAGAGCCACCGGCCGCTACTGTCATCCTGCAAAGTAGAGAAACTGAGCCAACAAAATGGATACCGACGTACTCAAAAAATGGCTTGATTATGCTTACGAGCTTCCTTATATGTAATAAATATCTTCCTATGGCTCGAGTGTGTGTGTTTGTGTGCGTGTGTGTGTAGGAAGGAGCCAGCGATCAATACGGACTCCAACATCCTGGATAGAAATAGCCCTCCTTTTCATCAACCAGGCCCTCGTCATCACAGGGCCCGGCAATCAATACAGGAAGCTGTAACGTGAGGGGATGTGGAAGCGGGGAGAGGAGACCCACCATCCTCCACCAGCCTCTCTCCGTGGCGACCACCGGCTATGGAATGGCTAATTATGGGATGCTTTAAATCAGAGGTGGCCCACGCAGAGCCGATCGTGCTCGTATTGAGAGGGAAAGGGGGTGTGTAGGGGTGAGCGTGAGGGAGATGGCGGTCACCATGTGGCGTGGTGCCATTAAGTAGCTTTTTACACACAGGAAATGCTAAGTGGACAAAGCTGGGCCAGATCAGCTCAGATGGACATAAGCCAACAGGACGCATATAAACCAAAGAAGAAAGAGGGAAAACGGAGCGAGAAAGCTGGATGGAGGAGGAGGGAAAAAAACAACACACAAATATGCCGATGAAACCACAAACAGAGCCGCTCTCATGACGCGGACCCCAGCCCTCCTCAACACGTTGTCATTAGCGGCCCTGACCCTTGAACCCTGCCCAACCCCCATCAAACACTTAAAAGCCTTCATGTTTCCCCTACCTCAAATTAACAACATCCAACACCCCCGATTATGACTGGGGCAAATATTTGATCTGAGGGAGGAAGCACTAGATC